GTATTTATGTTCTTGATTTGTGAACTTGCTTTGCTGTTCAAAATTCCAATGATTAATAAATGTTCTTTATACTCACTAACTGAATGAATAATTAACGCGAATGAAATGATTTGAAGGGTATTATATAATAGTAATGGTAAATAAGTATTTATTTTCTTGATTTGTTAACTTGCTTTGCTGTTCAAAATTCCAATGAGTAATAAATGTTCATTGCGGAAATCGTACATTTTTGCGATAGTGACAAAATATCTTAGATCTAGCATAAATTATTATTAATATATGACGCTAAGAGGAAAAATCGCTAATTTAGGTTCTTACTAGCACCATTAACGAGGTTTTTTGACGGAGTATGAAAAATTACCAATTTTTCACGCTCCGTCAAAAAACCACGTTAAAACCTTGTTAATGGTGCTAGTAAAACCTAAATTAGCGATTTTTTCTCTTAGCGTCATATATTAATAATAATTTATGCTAGATCTAAGATATTTTGTCACTATCGCAAAAATGTACGATTTCCGCAATGTTCTTTATACTTACACACTGAATTAATGCGAATGAAATAATTTGAAGGGCATTAATAATAGTAACGGTAAATAAGTATTTATGCTTTTGATTTGTGAATTTGCTTTGCTGTTCAAAATTCCAATGATTAATAAATCTTTTTATACTCACCGACTAAATTAATACGAATGAAATGATTTGAAGGGTATTACATAATAGTAATGGTAAATAAGTATTAATGTTCTTGATTTGTGAACTTGCTTTGCTGTTTTAATTCCAATTATTAATAAATGTCCTTTATACTCACACACTGAATGAATAATTAATACGAATGAAATGATTTGAAGGGAGGTATTAATTTACATAATAGTAATGGTAAACAAGTATTTATGTTCTTGATTTGTGAACTTGCTTTGCTGTTCAAAATTCCAATGATTAATAAATGTTCTTTATACTCACCTACTGAATGAATGATTTATGCGAATGAAATGATTTGAAGGGTATTACATAATAGTAATGGTAAATAAGTATTTATGTTCTTGATTTGTGAACTTGCTTTGCTGTTTTTAATTCCAATTATTAATAAATGTTTTTTATACTTACGGGCTAAATTAATACAAACAATTAATTAATTAATATTTATGAACTTAATTGTAATTAACAGATTTTATTATACTTACTCCCTAATAAATAAATTTTAATTATTAAAATTGTATAAAAATATTTTCAATTTTTAATACTAAAAATTAAAAATTTACTTTGCAATCCATTCCCAAAACTTATTTTCATTCTTTTCTATGCCGATTCCGTAATAGTAACACAAAGCAGTTTTCCAAATTCCATTTAAATTATCCGCCTCGGCTGATTTCAAATAATGTTCGAATGCTTTTTGATTGTTTTTTCCAACCCCAATTCCTAATTTATAACAATAACCAACTTGATACATCCCGTCTGGATTTTTAAGGTCGGCAGATTTTTGATAATTAACGAATGCTTCGTTTTCATTCTTTTCAACTCCAATTCCAAATTCGTAACAGTAACCAAGCCAATAATTTCCGTTTGGTTCGTTTGTATCTGCAAATTTTTTACACTCATCGAAATTTAGTTGTTTAAAAGCGTCGTTAATTTTTTGTTTCATTGAATTTGCAAAAAAATACTTTTAAAAAAAAATAAATGTTAATGCAACAAACATACCGCAATTTTTATTTTAGTGTGGTTGTACAATATTCTAAAAAAAATTTTACTGGTGCAATTCTGCACCGAATTCTATGATAGAATTCGATGCAAACAAAAAACAACAAATGTAACCACACAAAGATTGCACGCTATATGCAAAAAAACATGCGTAGTTGCAAATTGCGTTATGCACTAATAGAAAACAGGTTTTGTAATTATTAATAGAAACAGTCTTTGAAATTATTAATAGAAAACAGTCATAAAATATATTTATATTACTTGTTATAATGAATTTCATTATAATAATTTTCTTTTATAGTGAACCTTTAATTAATAGTGAATTTAATAATATAAGTTACTTTAATTATAATAAAATTAGTAGGCTTTAAAATTTTTTCACTATTAATTTTTTATAAATTCATTATATAACAAAGTTCACTAAAACAAGAATATTTTTTTATATAGTGATAAAAATCTTTTGACTAATATATATTTATTATAAAAAAGTAAAACAGACTTAAAAACAATAACGAAAATAATCATAAATTTTATGATTTATACTTTTAAAAATTCTTGGTTTATATTTTTAGAATTATCAAAGCTTTTTAAATAAACATTTATTTTCGATTGTCTTATCCATTCATTTTTTTTCATATCAAATCCATCAACATATCCATCAGGCCAGACTGCCTTAAAAATCGTGCCAAAGCCTCCTTTAGCAAGATACTTGATATCGGTAAATTTATTAAAAGGAATCCATTCAATAATGTCTAAATTTATTTCCATAAAGCTGAGTTTGTTTAATAAATTCAACAATATAATCATTGCCACTTGTCCAATTGTGAAAATCCTTTTTAAAACTTAATATTTAAATATTAATGAATATAATAATGAATTAGGAGATACAACCAATATATACTGTCTATCAAGGGTTAACATATAATTAAGACGATTTATTATTCTTATTGAAAATTATCATTTAATATGAAAAATTTTAGTTACAGGACTTACTTACTAGTCTGGTGACACATAGTATGTAGTTAAAATTATGTTAATTCTCATTGTCATTATTGTTTATGTCATTGTAATTTACTGTAAAAATTTACTTAAAAACTTACCAACTATTGCATTGACACTAGTGTTGCGGCCTAAACCCTTTACCGAAGTCCGAAACGTTTCGGGTTGAAGCACAAAAATCCTAGCATATATAGTTGTGAGATTAATATTCTTGATTATTGATTTGTATAATATGTAGATAAGAAATTATGTACAGTCGCCTCACAAAGTTTAACACGGTTACACGAAAAACAAAAAACAACAAAAATTTATGCTATATTGCGCAAAATAATATAAGATTACAATATTAAGACATAGTGATTATACAACATATATCAATATATATTAAATATTAATATCCACAACTATAACCATTATTATGAATAACTTCACTAATTCGATTTGGCATATTATTAATTTAATTCATAAAAATTGATGAACCTAGTCTTATGTTTTTTTATTGTTTTTTGTGTAATTGTGAGGCGACTGTACACAGATATAATAGCTAATAAAAAATATAAGACTAAGAGGTCGCTTACCATTTTCAAACATGCGATGATTATGATCCAAATACTTTCAATCAAGGGGTTTTTTTTTGCCGTCTATACCTAACAATCGAGCAATTTCTTATTTATTGTTTTTTTTTATGACCTACTGTTAGCCCAGAAATCGGTCACAGTCACACGTGACCGATCATCGAAATTAGGTCCCGTCACCTACCCGAGTACTTAGTCACATGAAAAGTACGAGAAATCTTACTTTTTTTACTTTTATTACTTTTGTGTTACATTTGTTACTTTTATTACTTCAGGTAGATCGATGGCATATAGTACATTCGGTTTTTCTTTAGGTTAGAAAGGAAATGGGTTTTAATGATTATATAATGTAAATAGATAATGTAGAGGAAATTAACCTTGAATGTAAACATAGAGTCACTTGGTATTAAATTTTATTCCACAAGAATCAGGCGAAAAACAACATTTCTCTCTAAAACTAATTAATTTATTATATAATTCTCACATATCAATTAAAGAAACGATCAAGCAATCAATGAATCTTCTATTTGTTCGGACTGCAAAATTAATAATTAGAATTAAGCTTAAAGGTATAAAACTTGTTAATGAAAAAATTTTGATAAAATAATTTCAAATATTTGATTTAAAATTTTGATTTGTTTTGTGGAGTACTAAAATTATTTGGCTACTTACTATTTTATGGCAGATTTTTTAACCATATATAATTGCACTTGGTAATTCAGTTTTTAACCATTTCATATACATAAAGTTTACATAAACAAGTTAAATATTTAAAGGGAATTATATCATTATTTTTTATCGTTAATAACTGAATGTAATATTCAAATAGTAATCAAATTCAGTAAAAAATAAAAGTAAGACTTTAAAACCATTCAGACAAGTCAAAAATCATATTTTGGACACTTTACACAAATAAATAAAATTATTTACAAGTTGTATATATTATTGAACTATTTATACTTTTACAAAAAAATTAAATATTTGATATAAGTTGTTATATTCTAATAGGGATCAGGTTAGTGATGCCTGACGAAATGATAAAATGACGAAACCTGATGAAACCATATAGTTTCATCAATTCTTCAATTGACGAACCTTACGGTTTCGTCAATTCTTCAATTGACGAACCTTATGGTTTCATCATTTCATTAGGCATCATTAGGTCTGGTAAAAATGATAAAGATTTTTAATAATTATTCCTCAGTTGATATATTTAGTATTTTACAAATAAATAAGATGGTTTATTTACAAGTTTATAAATATATTGCACAATGTGCTCTAGATTATTGATTGAAAGAGTACTGAAAGACTTTTAAGTAATTTTTGTTTTCTTGTTTTATATTTGCATTTTAAGTTTTTGGATTTGAATTGCATTCTTAGCTTTTCGGACTGTAACTTATAACATGCTTTTTCAGATTCTGGCAGTTTATTCCATTCATTCCTAGCGATTTTTGAGATTTGATGGGTGTCCATACTTGGATTATCTTTCATTTTTTCTTTTCGATATAACATAAAGGCATTTAATGGATGTTTAATAAAATCAAAGATCAATGCTGAAACATGTATATTTAGCTCTGGGAATTCCTTAATTGTTTTCAATTTTTTTGTAGCATCTTCATGAATAAGAAATGGAGAGAATCCTTGTATAATAAAAACAAATATTCCATTATTACGTTCAATATTTTGAAAACCATCAGATTCTTCAATCGACACAAAATTATTGGGATTCATTTTATATATATTTACTTTTTAAAAAATGCTTATTAATAGTTTCAGATGTATTGTTGAATATAGAATTAGCCATAAATTGTATTGTTATCACTTCTTTTAATATTTTCTTATTATATGCTTTCTAGAATAAAAATAAACTTGGTTTGCTTTTAAAGCTTTATATAATAAAAGCTAATTTAAAAAATTTATTACCAAATTCTATTACAGTAAGTTTATTACAATCTATGATAATGCCTGTCGCTGACTTTATATTTATGTCATTCTCATAGCCAAACTTTTACGCAAATTATCAATATAATTTAGGTTTTTATTAAAAAAAATCTTACTAATTGAACAATTCCAGATTAAACTACATTAAAATTATAGATCTTTCAATTTAATCAATGAATTGATTTTTTGCTTTTATAATTTACGACCCTTGTACTCTAAATTAATCTGTTGTTTTTTTCAGGCAAAATATTAAAATCTGGCATTTCATATGTTTTATACTTTTTATTATTAGCAGGTTGAATGATAAATGAAATGTTATCTAATTTTTTTGTTTGTTGTGAGATAATCTATAGTAGAGCTTCATATAATGGATTTTTTTCTCGAGTACCATAAATACCTGAAGATTTTAGTAGTCTGAGATTTAAAAAATTTTTTAATTTATTTGCAAAAAAACGACACTGTAACCTAATGTTAATATAATATTCAATTTGAACTGTTAATAAATTTTGAGATTGAAATATCTGCAACAAAGAGCAAGACGCACAGCAATTATCCCTGAAAAATATGGCTCAAGTTTTGAAGGAAGCCATGCCAATAAAACTGCTTATAATTGTCCTTGAAAGAACAGATCAATAAAAGGTCTAAAAATCTCCTTGAGATTTTAACTCATTCTAAGAGTATAATAGTATAATATATAGTCAGACATACAATAAAATGATTTGATTTAATCACAAAAATTTTAATGTATTATTTTTTGAAATTTGACTAACTATATTGTGACACTGATTGGAATTGATTCTATAATCCATAGATTTAAAGTAACCCGTAAATTATTTATATTACGAATCACATCACTACTCAAATTACAAAAACTAGTGGAATATAATTTAAAATACTTATCTGAATAGAGTTCAATAGATAAATTTGGGGTTGTTGAATGAGTATTGTTGGTTTCTTGTACAGTATTTATAATAATTCAATATTCTTGTTTAACCTGTTTTGATGATATATTTAATACATATCACAAAATTGGAATTCAGTTAATTAAATTTTTTTTCAATTGTAATTATGACAGACAATTGAAAAATTGTTGAATTATTTGTTAAAGTGCAGTATATTTACAAATTAAAGATTCATTCAATACAACTTTTAAAGTATCCACTATTCAATCTTGTATTGATATTAACACTGAAAATTAATCTAAATTAAACTTTAATTATATACTGACAATTTTTAAATTCTATTAATTAAGCAATTCATGTTTTAAAAATCATAACCAAAAAAGAAAAAATTTGTTTAGAGAAGCATTTTCATTCTACAATTATGATCATTGGAAAGTAGTAATTTTAAAAAGAATTTTTTTAGCATCAAAATTGATTTAGGTGTGAAATTAGAGCAAAAATAATTAATTTATTTTATTTTCATAAACTAAGTTACAAATTTAATACTGAATTTACAATTGATTCTAATCGTTATTAAGCCACATTTGATAATAATCATCAATGAATGTGATATCTCTATATTTTTCTTTTATAAATCTTACGAATGATTTCTGTTTACTGTTATTGTCTTTTAATGAATTTTTAGACCTTATGTAATAATAGTAAAGCTTTTTTTTAAGAAAATCAATAATAGTATTTTCATTTTTTGTCTAACAAAAAAATGTATTATTTGCTGTAAAATTCTTTTCAAAGTTTTCAAATTTCTTATTAACTAGATTTTCTATATTTGCATCACAGACAAATACAATTGCATCTTTTTCATGAAAGAGTAACATATTATTAATGGTGTGAACATCATCGTTATTAAAGGTTGCATGATTTCAGATGATAAGATAATAGAAGAACCCTTGATAAGTAATTTTAACAATTAAATATAAGGAGATGCTAGAGTGTGTTGCTTCAATATTAAAACAATTTTTGCTTAATAAATTAAGGATATATAGATCTATCCTTACTTTTTTTTTACCTAGTTGATTTGATATATCAAGCATATATGAATAGTTAAGCATTTACAGTTAGTTTTTTAGAAGTGAAATTCTTTGAACTTTTGTGCTCACAATTATGATTTTTAACAGTAATTTTTTTTGAAAAAAACATAATCATTTCTCAATTGGAACAACAATTGAAAACTTGTATTATTATGGTGCAGTACATTACCAATTGATTTTATCAAATGCACCACTTTCCTTTTGATTTATTAGACATGATAAAATATTCATGATAATTATTTTTATCTTTATGATATTTGTAAGTTGTATTATTCAGCTAGATAATACATAAAAACATATAAAATAACTTTTTCAAATAGTTCAAAAATTGGGTTTAATTAAAATTTATAGAAATGATTATCTAGCTATCGAGATTAGAATGTCCAGAATTCTGCAATGCATAAATCTGCTTGATCTAAAAATATTTTTTGTGTTGTATTTAGTTTTTAAAAATTAAAGAAGTTATGTTTATTTTACTGAGACAATACAAAATAATATTTTAGAGAGAGACGATTTATGCACGCATAACTCTGGACACTCTAGACTGAATCACAGACAAATCAATCCATAATTAGAGTTATATGATATTGTTTATTATTGAAGATTTTTTTTATGATTTTTTTTTAATAGTAAATACAACTAAAGGTACACTTTTTGTGCAAAATATATAAATTTTTTATACATCTTTTTTTAACCAATAGCTTTTATTTGCTCTTTTTAACAATAACATCAGTTTTACTAACTTTTGGAACAAAATATCATGAACATAAGGATTTGAAACATAACTGAAAAAAATGCATATTATTTCTATCAATGCCTGTCTTCACATCGAATATGAAAGCCTCTCAATCCACAATCAGAAAACATGCTCTCCTTATGTTACACTGGCATGTACCAGCAATATGCGTGAATTGTAAGTGGCGTAATCGTGAATTCATATATATTAACCTAAATAAAAAAATACCAAAAACCCAAACCTGAATCTAGAAAACTAATTACTCCAAATTTAGCAAATTTATTAAATTCAGTTATTTAATGTATTGTTAACTTCATAGTCTATTTTTGGTGATAGCTGTAATTTTTATCATTATGCTGCATGTGGCAGTTTTAGAAAAGACATTATCTAAAATTTCACAAAGCTCTTTCTTAATTTAGAGATATGATTATACGTAGTATGATTTCGCAGGCCCACGGGTCAGTGAGATCATATGAATATATATTTAAAATAAAGATTTGTCCAACCAAGTGATGCGACCCTAAATTTTAAATAATATAATGATAAATAATTTACGGGTTACTTTAAATTTATAGATATTCACCAGCTCAAAGTAACTAATAGATTATTTATATTATTTGTTCAATGTTTGGTTCACATCTCTAATCCAAGCTAAACAACCAAATGGTGTCCATTCACAAGAGATTTCTCAAGATAAATTAAATAAACATGTTCAAAGTGAAGAAGATATTTATAAATTTCTTAAATTTTCAATTGCAAGTAATAGATTGCAGTATTATATTAATTTGACAACTTTCAATTATAAAAGAGTATCTATTAAATGAAAATTCATTTTTCATTCTGACTTGTCTGGTTTTGGATCAATATAAAAATTCGCTAAAAACTGGTTCCTCTCAAAAAAAATTTTTAAATTCTAAACTTCAAAAGCACAATATAAACTTCCAATAGACAAACATGAATCTATTACTGGACATCCTAGTACTTTTACAAAATATTCCACTATATAACTAAACATTTGAGATTCCTTCAATCCAAAATATGTTTGTTACACAAGATCTTATACTACTCTCTTTATTTTTGTGTATTATATTATATTTCTAATCCAATATTCTTATTCTTTATTTTATGTGTACTATAAATTATTTTTTATAGAAATAATAAATCACACTGATGGTATTAGCATCATTTAATTTTTTAAAGCATTTTGGGTGTCAATATTTAATAAAATTGGAAGACAAATTTATCTACTTCTTTTTATCCATCCTTTGAATATTGGTAGAATTTATATGGGGAAACCCAGAAAGAAATTTGTGGAAAAGCATAATATCAAAAATAGGAAAATTAGTAGAATATACTCGCAACAAAATCTGTCATTCAAGAGGGGTATCTTAGTCACTAATTCGCTTCTCTTGTCACGATTATGGTATGCCATATACATTATGCTGCCAAGTTAGAAACAACTTAACGAGATAAATAGAATTATCTCCCAATGGGTTAAAACAAAATCTCTTACTATACCACATTACTCAGTTTTACAGCAAACAGCAGAACTGAAGATCTGAATGCTCCCATATTAAGAGATATGATGTAAGCAAGGCTAATTACCATATTGCTTAAGCTTCTATTAGATCAAAGTTTGTGGACTGAAATTGAGAGACAAAGGATAGAGAATTCGATTAGAACCATAAGGAACATCTCAGTTAAAGTAGCACTTAACGAATCCCTGGTTAAAACAAAAACCTGGCCAGATTCATAGAAACCATACGTTAAAGCCTGGGGAAGATGTAAAAGGAAAATTGTGAATAACTCGACTAACTGGCCCTGGGATCTAGATGATATACAAGTTATCAACTGAATACATGGTTAAACTTGCAACAGAAATTGGAAGAAATAAAACATTTCAAAGTAATTTACAATGGTCAGATCAGTTGATATGAGGAGGAGAGAATGGCATAATTAATGATATCATCGAGAATGTATTAGATCGATATAATTGGCGCATGTTATACAGGGCACTCCCTTTGGGATTTAGATTACAACATTTTAACAACGCTGAAATGGGGTTTGCTCAGCATGCCCAAATGATCTACAAACATTGGAGCACTTTGTTGCAAAATGTACAGCTAGTCATATAATTTGGAGAACAGCCTACCAATTCTTTATCAGTCCAACTGATTTTGTACCACCAAATAATTTAGAAGAGATTATTTTGGCCTCCAATGACAGCTGCAATGTGGTTACACATTATCATGGATTTATGAAATTTATATTGAACCTAATTTCTTTTTTTAATATATTTATAAAATTCATTATATTAAGCATGTAACATTTATTTTTTTGACTTAAGAAACATAGTAAAGGATCGTTTAACTTTAAGATCAAAATTATTTTTAACTTAATTATTAACTATTACTCAAATTTCATATGAAGAATCTTTAGATATTCAAGATTAAGTATTTAAAGTTTTAAATTAACTTTTATATTTAATTTCACAAAGAATTAGAAATAATTTTTTTATAATTTGTATATAAAATTTAAGTATTCCTATTAATTTGATTAATAAGTATGTAACTGTATATGACATATCAGTTAATTGCTAATACAATAAAAGAAACTCGTACACTATCACTGCAGAACTTTTGCTTATTGTTATGATACAAGTTCCGGCATAAAAAGACAACGAATATAAATTATGAGCATGATCGCTGAAAAATTTCTGAATGGTGAAAAATTTATCAGTCCTGTGATCATCAGGCCAACCGGACCAAAACTTAGGCTCGGAAAATACCTATTGCAGGTTAATATAATTGACTAACTAATACTAACATTAAATAATTCGATCCAGGATCTAAATCCTATCACTAAATGTACAGTATTATGTTTTCATGTGAATTAAGGACTGATTAACATCCCTATTTGACATATCGATATGAAAAATAAGCTGGTTCACGTTAACTTAAACAACAATTAATAATGATAATATTTAAAATTACGAATTCATAATTGACAATTCAAAAACAATATACAATTATTTTTGTAATTGAATTCCAAAATTTAAATATACCACAATGCAATTTCTATTAGCCATTTATTAGTCTACCATAAAGATTGTATAATTATTTTTTAATTCAAGCCAAGAATTCAGCAATTCAAAATACAATTATTTTTAATATTAAGTAATTTAATAATTGAAATTCAAAAAAAAATTATATATATTATAATTCTTAAATTCTATTTAATAAGCAATTTGGTTAATAATTAAATGATAGATTTCCAAAAAAATGGAAGACAATCATGAAAGCAAAAATGAAAGTTTTGCCTTCTTTCTTTTATTCTCAATTAAAGTGCACAGTATTATTGCTGCCAAGTTTTCAAACTTAAGTAGTAAAGAAATTTCGAATATTATTTTAAAATTATGGTCATGCTTACCTGAAATTTCAAAAACAGAATATAAAATAAAGGTGATTAAAATGAGAAAACATCCAGATATTTTAGATGTTTTTTCTTCTAAAAGAAAAGAAAGTCATCAGATAATCTTAATTCATATCCACAATATTTAATACAAAGTCATAACCTAATATGAATAATTCTCTCTTGTACTTTTCCTTTGTCAATTGTTAATAATAACGAATTTAGACAATTTTGTAGTTTACTTGATTCAAGATTTATACTTCCCAATAGTAAAACTATAAGAAATGCAATTATTAATGCATATGATCGAACTAGCAAACTCATTCAAAATAAAATAATTGAAACTGCCGAGTTTGTAGCACTTACTTTAGATATCTGGTCACACATATTTTGGAATAACTTGTCATTGGATTACATATGATTTCAAATTAATTGAAGTTGTACTTGAAGTGATGAATTTTTCAGGATCAGAACTTTTTGAAAAACTTCAATTATCTAAATTTAGATTGGCTCATGAAAATATTGTTAGCATTACTGTTAACAATGAAGACAATGATAATGTGAAAACAGCTTTGTCACAAATGCAATTTGAAATTATTCCATGTTTGCCAAATATTTTGCGAATTAGCGTTGATTCAGATAAGTATTTAATTATTATTTAGTATAATTACTTTATTTCTACTATCAACTATAAAATAATTGGTTTAATTTTTTTCTAAATTCGCTTATCTTATTCTTGCAAATGCCACTTTCGATAATGGTATATACATACTTAATGCAAGTTTTAAATTCTAAAATGGAAACTTAGGATCCATAAGTTACTAACATTTGTTAAAAATTTTTATGTAGGAGGGCTTGTGTGTGCCAATGACATTATAAACAAATTAAAAAAACTAATTAAAATTTTAATTAATGACACGAATTACTAAAAGTTAAAAGATGTACAACAAATTGATCTGAATATTAAACAACCACTAGATTTATTAGATTTTGAAAAAGATTAGAATTCGATTTATCATGCTATTCACTGTTTAATAATACTACAGCCTTCAATTCAATATTTATATGAGACTCTTAATAACAATATATTAGGTATTAGTAGAGAAGAAGAAACTCTAAAAGAAAATATATTATCTGATGATGAATTTGATATATGTAGAGAACTTGATATTATTTTAAAGCTATTTTATGAATTAACTGAAATGTTAGAAGGTTCAAAATATCCTGCATTAAGTGTAGTAACTCCAGCAATTAAAAACCTAAAGCAACGTCTAAGTATTTATCAACTTCGAAATGATGTAATTCAGCAGATAATAAATAATATACTAGATAAACTTAGAAAGAACTGTGATGTGCCTTCGACTCTAGGACTTTATAGGTCTTTTTTTGATCATTATTTCAAAAATTTACTTTATGCTAACGAGGTAAATATATAATTATATATTTAACTATCACTATAATCTATAATATTATTTTGTCATTAAAAAAATATCTTCTCAACATAGGAATTATGTCACACAATTATTAATAATCTTCGAAAACAATATACGAAACTCACAAATCTAACATTCAACTCTATAATAGCAATAAAAAAAGAAGATTCGAAAATGTTACAATTTTTCCAGACATTTGATGAGGAAAATTATAGGCAAACAGAATTTGATAAGTATCTTGAATTAATTCAATTGCCTGTAATGGAAGAAAATAATTCTTTGAGATGGTGGAGTCAGAATAAATATTTGTTTGCTACATTGGCAAAGCTTGCTAGAAAATACTTATCAATTCCCGCCTTTTCTGCACCCAACAGAGGGTTGTTCTCGAATATAAAAAATTATATTTTAGACCTAGATATTGATATAGTCAATCATCTTATATTTTTAAAACATAATTTACAGTATTATAATTTGACATGAATTTCAATTTCTTAATGCTTTATTCTGAATAGACATACAGTACATCATATAAAAATACTTTATCAATTCTTATTTTTTATAATTTTTTATAATAATAACATTCAATAAATTTTATTTTGTACTAAGTCAAAAATATAATGCAGCTATGATTACCAGTAATTTGATGTTATTGTCTTTGATTAAGGTCAAAAGTGACTAGATATTTATATAAATAATTTTGAATTAAAGAGTATAATATATCTTGAATATTGGGTGTCTCATATTAGAAGAGCTCATTTTGATAATTTTCAAATTGTTAATATGTCAAAATAGGCTCTTTTAATCTGAGGCACACATTATACTTTGTTATCATATAATCACCCTTTACATCTTTAGTAATAACATATATTTTTATTGCATTGTTCGAATTCTGACCTATTTTCAATCTACATTGTCTTGATAATAAAGTGTTAAATAATATTATAAGCGAAAATCAACAGAAGTTAACTCCGCCGGGCATAATTCAGATAATATGATGGTTTTGTAAAATTTATTCATAGTTGATTGGTATTGTCACGTAAAAAATGTGAGTTACAAAAACTTTAAAGGAAAATGAATTGTCATTTGAATGTAAAAATTCAATTAATTATCTCCAATTCATTCGCATTATTTTAAAATCTATTTATTTAGATGATAAATTTCAAAGAGAAAGAATCGAATTAATAATTATATCGAATTAATATTAATTATGAATTTTGATAATTTTACTTCAATTGAAGAAGCAAATTTATATTACAATATTAAAAGCAGCAATGGAGTTAATGTTTTCATTTCAAGTGGTTATTCTCCAATTTTATTACGAAACAGTGAGAATGTAATTTCAAAAAATATGATTAAGGAATTGCCTGGATTAAATATAAAAATTCCAGCATTTATTTTAAATACAGCAGCAAACACATCTTATAATGAAAAAACAGTAAAAAACCCCAAATAGCTTTATGATATTTCGAAGTCAAATATGTCATATAGTTAAGACTAAGTACAATCATTTAAGCAATCATCAAGTTTCAAGTTTAATTGGATATTTGTGGAGTAAATTAACTTCAGAACTCAGAGAAGAGTATCAACAACAAGCTAAAAAAATCAAATTAGATTACCAAAAACAGAATAAAGGTAAATATACATATAAGAAAAGATCATCTAATAAAAAAACAAGAGATGTTTCTAAGAAGAAAAAATTGACTCAAGTTTCAAATACTAAGGAAATTTCATTATCCAGCTCTACTGAAAATAATGAAGAATTGTTAACAGACAATCTAGAAAAAATATTTAATTTTCCTTTAGATAGGTTTATATCAAAAGAGTTAAGTAAAAAAAATATGAATAATATCAAAAAGAATTATTATGAAGACTTAAGTGAAAGAAATAATGTCAAAAATACTCATTCAGAAGAATTAAGTGAAATAAATAATGCCCAAGAAACTTATTCTGAAAAGTCAAATGAAATAAATAATTTTCAAAAATCTTATTCTGAAGAGAATAATGATAATGCATTATTTGATTATCAACAACTTTTCAGTTTTCTATCAGAATATGATATTTTTGGCTTAGACACATCAAATCAACTTCCATTAACAGGCATTGATGGATGGCAGTCAACAGAAAAATTAGAAAATCCTTCCACAATAATTTATAGAGAGCAGTCAACAGAAAAATTAGAGAATCCTTCTGAGCTGATTTATGATGAGAGGTCAACAGTTGATCATTCTGTGTATTCTATAGAAAATATAGAAAGTCCCCTTATGCTAATTAATAGTGGACAGTCTTTAGAAAACCTAGCTAATTTAGATTTTGAATCATTAATGAGCCTTATAATGTAAGATAGGCAGATTAGAAACAGCAGGTAATATGCCAAAGTTAGGCTTGTTTTATTGTTTATTACTTTTAAATTGTTATTTTATTTTTTTCTTAATTCTTATAGTGGTTTTTAGCATTTTTTTTTTTGTATCTTATCAGTGCTTTTTTGTTGTCTTTTTAATGTTTTTTACTTCACTTTTTGATTATTTTTTTCGCCACTGCATTTTGATATTTATATTATCTGTAGAGGTCTTTAAATTTTTTTTACAAGCATTTGCACTTGGTACAATGCTATTCATTTGGTTATTTGCTCAGTGTTGTAAATTCTTGTGGAATAAATGGACTTTCTAAAAATGTCTCTAACAATTTTCATTTCTTGGCACTTGGTAAAGCATAATTCAAAGTTTCCTAATAATAATAACTGATGACTAAATTCTAATAATTCCATATGTTTTTAATATATATGACTGGGTATATAAGTGTGATACCTCATACTTATATATCCAGATATAAATCAGAAATTTGCCTCAAAACCGTTACAAGGTGCAGTATACAGGTAATAAATAAATGTACATAAGTATTTGTATTTGGTTATTTAAGCTTTCAATTAAAATTATACAATATTACATAAATTCTGTTTATTTATTTAATGTTTGTAAACTTTATACATAATATAATCATTACAGACAAACAAGCTATCTATATTACTAATACTGTAATCATCCCTACTATTGAATACAGATTACATAATATCAT